ATTAAACATGAGAAAGCAGCGGTCGCACGGCGCGCCGGTAGTAGAACGGAACACACGGTGGGTCGCTCGAGGCAAATGAGACGCGTTTCTACTTCATGTAAAATTCCGTCCTTGGTTACCGTGGCTGCAAACCAAATCCGATCTCATCGCCCGTAACGGCTATCGATAACGGCTTATGCAGACTCAAAAGAATCGACGTAAGCGTCGACGGCTTGTCCACCCTCCGGAAAAGCTTTCGGGAAAAACGGAAGAGCCCTCTAAACGTCGTGGCTCGTCATCAAAAATAGCGAGCACGATATTCGATTAGATATAGGAAATCGGAAAAAATTTGATTGAGGGATTAACGCCGAATAATTATTCGTTAACAAACGTCGCTCGAAGAAGGACCCCTCCGCTTCCTCGCCTCACTAATTACGACAAAGGCAAACGAGTGACGGCAGCTCGGGCAGCTGAGGCTCTCATCGCAAATAGAACAAGTGGCTGCCGCGCCTTTGAATGCGCGCTGCAAATTGCAGCCATCGAGTCGTGCGCTTCTTTCCGAAGGAAAAAAGATTACCACGGTGCAATCCGATTCCGAGCTTAGAGGCTAGATTGAAGACGACGGCGTTATATGAGTTGTACCGAAAGCCCTCAATCTTAATGACAGCTTCTTTAACCAATTCGTCGTCGACTTTTTCTCACCTGAAACACTAAGATATCAATAGCTTCTGTATTAAAACTAATTGAAAACGGAAAGATCTTCGCAAACGCTGGAGAGATACAATTGAATCTATTGTTCGCCACACAGTCTTGATGCTCTTTCTAAATGAAATTGATTTATTATTTTTAAGAAAAATTTTATTTTAAGATTTTGTTATTTAAAAGTTTTATATCGACTATCGAAAATTATAAAAACTTCTCTCTCTCGACCTTTTCCCTAAGAAAGATTTACTTCAAAAATTTAAAGATATTATTATTAAAAAATATGTATAAAAATCGTGATTCCACTAAAGATATGATGATAATAATAATAATAAACTAATAATTTTTATTAAAAAATCGTTTTTCCTAAAAAAGATTATTTCATAAATTTTTGTTAAAAAATTTATTACTAAAAAATGATATAAAATAATAATTCCATTAAAAATATAGTAGTGAACTAATTATTTTTATGAAAAATTCGAGGTCGCGTTTCTCTGAAGTATTTTTTTAAAGACCATATTTGATGAATAATCTCATTATTATATGGATAAAATAGAAAGCATTAATTTTTCGCAGTTGAATGGTAAAAAAAAAAGAGAAATTATCTGCCTGTTTTTTCGGGAAATATTTTCCGCTCGACCTTTCGAACACGACCTTTCATTTGGCAATTTCATGTAAAAAAAACCGAGGTTTGAATAAAATCGCACGATATGGCGTTAGAGTTAAATCGCGAGTGTAGAAAACATAATTGGGAAGCGGTACAATGACGCAGAAGAGTTCGTTAGAGAGTTAACAACGGCTTCTTGTCAATAGTGTTCCCATGCAATTTCTCACAAGATACTCGCGAAGTGAAGTTACCATGAGATCGGAGGCAACCTTCTACAATTTGCGAGAAATAAATTTTGATCTCGCAACTTCTCTGAACGTGATAAACACGCGGTGACCTCGCGCAAGCACTAAATAGACCGAAGACATACAAGAATTACCGGAAACACTTTAAGATGCAAGCTCGCGGGCGAATAATATTACTAAGACTCCGTTTCCGTCATAGTATGCAAATATTATGCGAAGACATAATTTCGGGAAACATTAATGTTGATAATATTTCGCGAACTGCTTGCCGCGACCTGAAATGCAAAACGACGTTGTCTTTCCGACGCCGGCGAAGTAACTTCAGATAGTGGAAATCGTAAAATTGTACAACGCGTAAGAAGAAAATGTCGGCATTCCTAGCCGCACCCGGAAATTTTCGATGCGTCGCGGAAGTATGATAATATTTTCGGATAATTGAAATCGGTATCTATTTTCCCGGATAAAAGTTTCGATACGTTTCTCGCGCGCGAGTCATCCCACGTGAAATACACCCACCGCATATTAAGAAAGTATTGCGTTGAAAAGTTTCTTTAGCGAAAAAAAAGAACTATCTAACTTTATCGAGACTATAAAACTCGAAAGCAAAAACCCCTTTCCTGTAACATTTTTAACCGTCTCTAACATGTTTTTAAATATGCAACTACGCTGCTGCAAAACATGTTGTAGGTATATTTCACGGACAGAAAATGCACCGCGTAATATTTTATGCATGCCCTCGTACAGGACTCTTTGATCCCAAAATTTAATACGTCGTTGTTCTATCCTATTTTAGCCAATTGTATTATAGTACGTTACGCTAGATCCTACATTATGATAATACGGGAATAATACAGAAAAGGAAGCTTCCGTAAGGAAGAATGTAAATGTAATGTTAAAGAAAGACACTGCGCTAGACAAATGAGGAAATATCAGGCGAGGATCGCGAGGCCGCAAAAGACAGTAATTTCGCGAAATTGTGTGACATTGTTTTGTGCGTCGGACATAATCTTTTACCATGCGTGACGAATTTCCGGAAAGCACAACCAAGTAAAAAAAAAAGGTAGTCAAGACGTTTCTTACCCTGCTGACTCGTGCAAATTTAAACAGGAAGAAACCTTCCGTCAAGCTTCGACTCGTTGCGACTCAACCTCCTCCCTCTCTCTCTCTCTCTCTCCCTCTACTTTTCTTCATGTCTTCCCCTTCAACGTTTTTATTCCCTAGGGAGAAGTATTAAACGTCTGCAGAGTTTTTATACCTACGTGTCGTTAACTCCTATTTGACGTTTGACGTACCAAAAACGAAAAGCAAATACGATGCCGAGGCAGCGTTATTACCAAATGAAATTTTTTTTCGCGGGATTATCACGAAGTTATGGAAATTAATGTACGTATTTGCCTGATAAAATTGAAGGTGACAAATGTTACTTTTGTGATATGTATAATACTAATGTGATGTTATTTATAATAATATTTAATTAGTATAATATTATTAAAAATCGCAGAAATATTTTTCAAATTTTTACTATTAATTGATCCGCTTTAAATAGCCGCGTTAAATGTCTTTTTGCATATCGACTTTCAGTACATTCCTAAATGCGCATCGAGTATGAGATAAAACTGAAGAATTTCAGGAGTTTAGTTTTGCAGAATAGATGCAAGTAGTAGGATACAAAATTTGTTACAAAATTCAATCAAAGGTACAATTTCTTCGTCAGTCGATGTCGCCTATGCAATTAGCCAGAAAAATGAATATACAAAAGTCATAAATTTCAAAAACTAACAGCAGGATATAAAATAATTTTTGTTTTCACAAACATAGCAGCTTATATGCCAACAAACATACAAATACAGGCGATTAGTTCATTACAACGAGCAACAGAAAAAGTACCAGTTGTAAATTGTCCTGAAGCAATGACGGTTCCACACAAAATCGGTAATTTTAATCATTATAATCATTATAATCTTTATTATGTACAAATTAATACAATTAGTTTTAGATATTACAATAGTATATACATCAGAGAATAATAATTACTAATTAATTAATTCTTTTGTGATGAAAAAGAAGCTAATTCGATAATACATTCCTTATAAGTTATAAAAGAGATTTGCGCTTGCAATTCCTGAACTAGTACTGAATTAAGCTCGTTTTAATAACGGCCGTCTGAAAGCGTAAAGACACGCGTCTTTGAAAATGCGATGACGGCGACAGTGTTTTCAATTTCGCGCTCGAGCGGCTTTATTCTCGAGGGAAAAGTGTTCGATCTCGCGCTCCTCCAAAGAGGACTTGCAAGGTCCATTTGACGCATCGTTTGACAAAGAGATAGAAAGAATTCTTCCCATTTCTATAGGAACGTCACTATCCTCGCAATTAATTATTTACCAGACTATCTGAGCGCAGCTATCAGTATAAATCTCCGAAGTCAATGAGCTTCTCTGGCTGGACGAAATTAACGCGCGATTTCCCTCGCACGATTTTTTACCTCTTAATCTCCAATCGAGACGAGTGCGCAGCAGAGATAACGTTTTCGTAAAATAAACTGTCGAAACCTGGGAGGGGGGGAGGGAAGTTACACGTCCGTTGTTTCTTTCGCCGTTTCTTTCGATACGCGCGGAATTCGCACAAATCCAAATGGAAGATCGAATTTCGAGCGAGAATTGTTCGATACAATAATCCTTCTCTCTATTACAATTCTATCGCAACGCACGCTTCTCGGGAAAAATTCCCTCCCACTTCGCCGTCTACGCGATACATATCGACACAAAAGGATTACATTGCAAAATGAAATTCTCAATTCCGCTCGGGGAATTTTCTTTTCACGGAAAAGCCGCGTTTAAAGTTTGTGGAGCTTGTGCGCACGAGCTGATAATGCCCGTTTGACGTGGCTTGCGAAATATAAACACGAGCTACGGCGCGTTTCCCGGGCTCAATGTTATTTTCAGAACTAATTTTTCCTGAAACTTCATCCGTCGTATTAAACAGAAGCGCGCGCGCGCGCAATGCGGCTTTTCCAAATGAAGTTTCCGAAACTATTCAAGAAACCGTCTACAGTCCGCATAAGGATCACGTCTTATTCTTACCGCTCGACTTCATGCTAATATTAATAATCTCACGTCTATGGCGTCTATTCAGAGTACCATCCAGAAGAACATTGTTAAAGTTTGGACCGTTCTTACAGGAAAAGTTTAAAATTCAGCAAGCTCACAGAAATATATATATTTATTTATTATCCATATTTTTTGGTTGACAGTAAAATTATAACAAAAATAAAATTTGAGATAAATAAATGAAAAAAATATTGCAATCTCAAAATTCAGAAGAATAAGATTTTTTGGATAGAGTTCGGAGTAATTTCGAGGCAAACAAATATATGGGCTTTGAGAAAACTTTATATTTTAATCGAGGGTTTAAAGCAACGAATCTGTGCAACGTGGATTAAACGAATAATGAAATCTGTTGTCACTTACTTTGACTCGTCCTGATCGTCGTCGTCATCCTCGGAATCAAAGAAGGCGTCGTCGTCGTCGGAATCGACCGATGTTTCGGCTCTCATCCGTCGCTGTTGAACCGCCCGAGATTTCGGAATTACTATGTCCCTGCAAATACATTTGCACAATCCAACGATTAGCCGCACTTAATTCAACGTAAAAAACTAATTAGTTTTAAATAAACGACTCCGCTTATTACTTGACAAAACTCATTTGTTTTGCAGTATGCCGCTACATATGCTTCTGTTTTGAGAATAAAAGATAATGGATCTATTCTATTTAGAGCACATAAAAGAGTAGCTCTGATATAAATAAACAATGTAGATTTTTAAATTACTGTTTAATCATCGGGAAAATATAGTAAGATATTGTCGAATATAAGACAAATGTAAAAATTTCTTCTGTAACTGTGTCGTGGATAATTAATAATGTTCTTGCTTCCGTGTCTCTCGTCCGATGTAAAATCTCATAATAAATTAATGAACAATAAAACAAGTTCTTTTTTTTGTGTAAGAAGTAAAATACGAGCTCGATGATGATCCAACTTCAAATTCTAATTGTTCTATCGGGCCTTGGGAACTTTTGCAAGAGCAATTCAGACGCGCCCGATTTGCATAGAACCTACTTTATTCGATGGATTAATGCTCGTTATGAAGTTTCGTGTCCTACAACCCTGCCGAGGCACCAGAGATACCACGCCCTAGAAATTACAGACGCGAAGCGTGAATTAGCTTTACGCAGGGCAAAAATTAAACGGCCATTACTCGAACTACGTTACCGAGCTAAACTCCCCGGTATTTAAGCGGCGGGCCATTCTAAATCCCGAGTTTCACTGACGTTCGTCATGTTGACATAGCACCCGCTTTAGCACAATGAAATGAAATACATCCGGGAATTTAGTGCTTTTCTGTTCTTGATTCGTTGCTGAAGAGATTGCGTTAACTTGGGTAGATACAGTTTCTTGTTTCATCGTCGTGTTATTACTTTATCTGCCCGCGGCTGCGAGGCGATGTAATTGCATTTACGGCGGCGAGTCTGTTATCAAAAGCAATCCTTCGTGATTATTTAACGTGGCGGTCACTATACCTTTGCGCCTTGAGAAAGCCAGGATGCTTTCATAGAAAAAAGACATTCAGCTATGTCAAATTTCTAAGTTTCCAAAATTACGTTAACCACAATATTTTTTATCTAAACACTGATATACAATGTGTATATATGTGTATATAAATTTCAGAAATGTTATCCCAGGAATTGTTCATTTAATATTTATCCATCATTTACGATTAAAAAGAAATATATTTTGCACAGAAAAAATTTGCAAAATTATAATCAACACTCACGTTCGCGTGCCTGTCTTAACCAAATGTCTAAACCACAAAGCAAAACTTATAATAAAACTTGTTTCCATTAAATTAACTAATACAATGCATAACTTGAGAATTCTTAAAATTATATTATATTATAACATACTTTTTTCAATAATATTCTTGTCGTATATAGATTATGGCATTATTTAAAAAATTATTTAATTATACCTCTAATATTACATCTAAATCGTTGGCAGATTGTTTAGGTATAACCTCCTCCTCCCCCTTCGCAACATATCAAGAATTCAATCGAACGCGGAAGCAGGATCAATGCACGAAAGTGAAACTCACTTGGATCGATCACCAGCGCGCATGGCTGGTGAAATTAATCCCGAACAGGGGCATCGATTTATCAAGGCAAGCCCATCGGGCTACTTAGCTGTTAATGACGCATTAAGGTCATTTAATGTCGTACGGGTGCTTCAAGATGAATACCGCCGATCGAGGTATCTGTACGTGGGATATGTATGCGCGCATACATCGTCCGTGGAAATGTCCAATTACAGTTAATTGGCAATAAGCACCGCATGGGGAATCAATGATCACCGGGACGGTTTCAGTCGATCGGTGGTTTAATGCTGTTTTGCGGCGATACGATATCGTCGTCAATATTGGCGCTGCTTAATGCCAACATCGGCGGCGTACAAACGCCAAGAATTTCGATTATTCGGCCCCGTGAAAATTAACGCGCTACGAGATCGACGTGGGAAAAGTGAGAGAAAAAATTTTGGAAGATCGCTATCTAGCCGCGAGTAAAACATCGACCGACAATTTGCGCATTATCGTTGTTTGGGACGAGCAAATTTGGCTCAACGCACCACACGAGAATCTTTCAAGAAATTGGTTAGGTATCGGTGCCAAGTAAATATAACCGAAGATTTAGATAAAGACTTCAGTTTAGCGTATAAAAGGTAAATAATACACTAAATGCAAACTTCGAAACGCAATATCAGAAATCATGTTGAATAAGCTAGTAGTGCGAGTACATTCGAATGCATTGCACGTATTGCATTTAAATTTTATACCAACAGATTGTCTTATCTTTGTCAGATTGTATCGCGTTACATATCCTTATTGAGGTATGATGATAAAAATTAAATTAATAATTTCTTAAATAAGACCTGAAATACATATCCTCATGTTTATATAGTACAATGTTAATTATTTGCGTTCATTTTCATAATTTCGTCGTTAGGAGTTTTCAGGGATTGTCTTACCATAAGCGGTTCTGATATTGCACTATATCAAGATTTTTATCCTTAATTTTGTATATTTATTTCTTCTTATATATAGAAATATTGATAGCTTATTAGAGAGAGGGAAAAGGGGAGAGATTCAAACATTCGCAGGAAGGAACACTTAACAACATTAATTAGTCTGACCGTAAGCGTCTTATCTTAAAACATCATTTCGCTCAAAATTATGGAAATAAATAAATTCAATACTTACCCTGATTTGTGAAGTTCCTTCTTTGAGACGCAGACGGCCGTGAACGTGTCCTCCAAAAGGCAGAGTTCCTTCTTCTTACAGTTGAGTGGGCGACACAGCTCGCCTGAAACAGATAAAAATTGATTTTAAACTCTAATATTATAAACAACAATATACTTTATCTATTATTAATTATTCTACAGAGATAAAAGAATCAAATTTATACATTTCGGAACCTATTATAACGAACAAAATAATAATTGCTCACATCATTTTACAAGATTTGAAGAGAAAGGTGTTAGAGATTATTGAGGTTTCTTTACCTTTTTATACTTTAGATATATTTAGATTATTGATGATATTGCTATTGTAGTTCCCCCCTAGCTTAGTCAATAATTTACTTCAATTCTTTCCATCCTCGGATTCAATTCAAATAAAATGTTTTTTATACTGCAGTTATTTGAAAATTTAGAAAAATTCATTATCTTCTATTGCGCCAATTTAATACCTAGTTATAGAAATGGGATCCGTTTTAATGTAATGTCGAAAGCAATCACTTCGTGATAAAATCAATATTGCTTTATCTCGTCTTATTATTAGTTTTGTCGGATAATTCTCTCTTCTCAAAGCAGGAGATCTCTTCTACTTTTCTTTCATTCGTCATTCTTTTTTTGGCATTATTTGACTATTATTCATCATAAAAAATGTCTGAAAGAATAAATTACATGAATAATCCAATACCTTGGACCTTTCTTAAGCTATTGCATTATTGATTTTTAATGCACTAAAAAAAAAATTTGTTAATCCTAAAAAATATTTTGTTCGATACGTTCAACTAAACATTTAGGTTAGTTAACTAAACATGCATTAGTTGAATTAATTAATTCTTGATTAAAGAAACTAAATAAATTGTTGAAACAACTAATGTTTAGTTAAACGTATCGGACTAAATATTTTTTGGGATTAACAATTTTTTTTTCTCAATGTAGTATTCTATAATATAGAATAATATAGAATAGAATTTCTATATCTTCAAACAAATTTTCTTTTCCTAGTAATTTTTGGAGAAACTTTAAGATTATCTTTTAAAAACATTCAATTTGAAATAATCAAACTATTTGAGTTTTTGCAAAACTTAGCATTATGAATTCACGAGTTAATTACATCGATGATCGCTGACCTCTTTCCATCAGTGACAAATCAAAAGAGCGTTTTATCTCGAAGAAGAATAAATAAATAAAAATCGCCGCGTTTTACAATTATTTCTCTGAGCTAAACGAGCGCGATGATAATTCGTCGTTACGGTTTATTCGCTTGCAATAAAGGAAAGTCGTGATAATTATGACGAGACCGATCGCGGTCGCATCGCGTTAATCAGATGGATTTTCTATCCGCGAACCGAAATGAAATGCATAGACTCGCCGTGAATGTACGTCGACATTCGTCGTGTGCGCTCTGAGCATTTTCATTCGTCTGGAAATCACCGACAAGCGATATTGGTCGTTCGAGGGAGCGTACTTCTATATCTACTGCATCCAATCGCCGAATCAGATCTTCCTCTTCTCCATTAACTCGTCCGGAACCAAGCACATCGCCGGTGTCTTCTCTTCGTCCGCAGTCCTCGCAATCAATAAAACGATACCCCACTTCAACCTACCGCTCTTTAACATATGGCAACCGAAAAACAAGTACGCTAGCGTAGAGCCACAGCTTGCAGGACCGCGTGTATTACACCTGATAACGTACTTCTTACCTCGAAAAGCTTTAACATCTTTTTAAGAAAATATTACTTACTTTAATAGTTTTATTTCGTAAGTAAACTTTATGTCCCTTGTATGACTTTAAATATATTTTTGTAACTATAATATGATATAAATTATCATCAAATATTCCTAAAGTTTTATTCATTTCAAATTGATCAATAATAATTTAAATTATTATAAAAATTTAATCAGAAACAAAAAAATAATGACCCTTTTCATCAAGTTTCAAGTAAATAAATTTATATATATTTATCTAAATAAATAATAAATTATTACATAATCTAAATCTCGTTTATATATGTAGTATCTAAATATTTTTTGGAAAATTGTAAATATTTTAAAATCACAAACTATTAATTTAAGACTGATGATTGCGCATTGTAACAATCTCAAAACTTAAAATTTTGCGACATTTATAAATATATAATTCTTCCCTGATTGTAAACTATTCGACCTTTTATTCAAGCTTGGCAGAAATATAACTAGTCAACATATAAAATAGAAATTAATTGTGATAGAAAATAACATATACTCTGTTTACGTAGTAAAGTAATTATTTCTTGCTTGACATTGTCATACGCATGTTGCTTGCTCCCATTTGCAAATGCACAAGAAAGTCATTGCAATTTGGAAAATGCACGACGACGGAAATAAGAAATAAATGAGCATTTGACGACAAAAGCGAGTTTTCGCGTTAAAAACTGGCTAATGTCCAGTTAAAGTTGCCAGCTTTTTTGTGCTGCACTGTAATACAATATTGTAAAGAACTGTAAAGAGAGAATTTCGTTAGAGAAAAAGTTACAATGTAATGAGTTTGTGAAATCAAAAGACATTGTATTGCAAATTCTGACATTTAAACTGTTTTATAAAGCATAATTTTATATTCCTTTTTAGGAAATAAAAATAAACCCTATACGTACATGATAATATAACATAACATTATTTGTCCCAAAAATAATATACTTTTTAAAGACAATTAATTGACCTGGTTCACATTAAGAGCAGGTATCGTATCAAGCATACAATAATTAATTAAATGTGATACACTGTACTGAAATTTTGCTAGAAATATGATAATTACAATTCAGGGGTAGTACAGACACGATAGTTACATTAACGTTATTATTGCTAAAATAATCGCGCGATTCAAACTAACTAAACTATGCGCGTGTGCATAGTTACCAAATGGAAATAACTCTTTGGTACATTCAATTTAGTCACTTCGCTTTTATGTAATTAATTGTAAGTTCACTCGCGAGCTTATTATTATATTACTTATATTATTACATCGCTATGACGTAAACAACATTATGAATACTATTATAAACTCATGAAAGTTCGTTTGCAATATTCACTTCCGTACGAATTATGAATATTTACGAAGATCTTCATAAGCATTTAGGAATATCTCGTAGCGTGCAAATGTCGCGTAAAATCGCTCAATATTTCTTCTCACTGAGCCAGCATACAGCATCCGTGGTGTAAAACAACCCGGCGCGCCCCGAGACAGAAAACGGTCTTCTGTTTAGTAGATAAAAGAGGAACCCCATTCTATTCCGCACGTTAAAGATTTCAAAATATCCAATTAAAAGTTTCTCCTATGACGTGAAGCTTGTCTCCCGGCGCGGTAGAAGTAATATCGCGCAAACGGGAAATTCCATCGGGTCGAAATTAAAGTCGACCGTACATGAATTAAGAAGACTTGGACTGTCTCCTGACGGCTTAATTTCGCAGGATTACATGAGAAAGGAGAAGGTTTGCTGTGCATATATATATATATATATACATATAATATATATACTTATAATATACATATATAGCTTCCCCTATATACAATATATGCATATATATACAAGACCTGCCACGTTTCCGCTCGTCGCGTATAACTGAAAACTTTCTCGTAGATCGAGGAAGGACGAAGATATTACGTCCCTCGCAGCCACGTTCCTTGCGTATTGTTTGGAACGATGCGCGATAAGATCCCACATACTACAAAAACGCATCCAGACCAAGTTGGCAAGGAAAACAACGATCACGAATGGCCATGAACTAATGCAGCACGCTCCGTTTTCTTTAATGCACTGATAAAAAATCTAACAAACATCGACGTAAATTCACGCTCATTGAAGCAAATTGATCATTCATGTTTGTTCGCGCTCGCTTGCTCAAGCTGAATCCAGCATATCGTCCGCGCGAATCCCACCTAATGGACTGAATGTTACGCATCGTGGTCCTCGATCGTCTCGTGATAGAAAGACGCTGTCGAGAAACGCGACTCGGGAGTGTTTTCACGCGAGACTTCGAGCCGAGAAGCGGATAGACGTCACGTCGGAGGAGGCATTCGGTTTTCGACAAGAGGAGAGCAGACGTAAGAGAGTATTCGGTAAGCATCCGCCGGCCGTAATTCGAGCGGTTCTTCTGAGCCGGATCGAACCAATCCGCCGAGCGTAACTCCGGATTTCGCGGCAGTAAAGTCGAGAGTTTCGTATATGGCGGGCGGCTTTCTAGCTGGTTGAGAAAAATATTTAAGATACTCCGAGGTGGAGCGAGAGGCTGCGTCTCCCGTTAAAAGATTGCGCGGTTACGAAGGTCTCTTGAATTCACGCATACAAAAATTTTGACGTTTACCATAAATCTTCACGTTAAGCCACTAAAATTGAGAATTATTGCAAAATAGGATATACCCGTAAGTCTCGAAAAGAAAAATATTAAAAAACGTGGTCGCTGCGATTGCATAAAATTTCCAGAATATGGATACCATATTTAAAATAGCAACTATATTTCGTGTACTACTATGTAACATTTTAGCAAAATTTGCGGAGCTACAATTTTGTTGAAATGTAAAAAAGCAAGAAAGATTGCTGCATACATTTAACGATCTGTATTATTAGATTATGAAATATTCTGCGAGTATGTATTTCTGGCAATATGGCTGAATTGCCGTTGTATAATTACGTCGAAAAAGTGCTCGCAAAAATATTAAAAAAGTTAGTCAGAATTTTTTAAAATACGATATTTAATATTATAAATCATTTTACTGTCTACGCAAGTTGACATGTATTTTATTTCATAAAAAAAAAATACTTTTAAGTTTCTTTGAAAAGACTGCAATAAAAAATTTCTTTTCTTGTTCATATTTCCCTGTCCATATTACGTGTCAAAAACGCAGTAGAACACAAAGAGTCGCGAAAAATGAAATTCTATATTAAAAAGCAGAAACATCAATATGCGAGAATACTCGCGCGAATAAAAATAGTAAAGTTTAGCGGTGAAGGCGTTAAGGACGTAACGCGATCCTCACGTCGTCCTCTGTTTGTTATGCTCGACAAAATGATAAAGTTCTCTCGAATAGTTAGAAAAA